GAACACCAAAATAACCCAGAGCAAAAGATTGGAAAAACAAACAGGTTATGCAGGGAGGTGTTCAATTAAATCCAGCAGCAAAACGGTTTGTTCATTAAACTAAAAACATAATGCAGATTTTTTTAGAAATGACTACAACTTTACTTTCACCCAAGAACTGACTGAATCGAAGATTTGAGTTGGAGGTATGTGTTGTGCTGGCAGGATCCTAAATGTAAATGTGTTTGTCTGTGTCACTTTACATTGCACCAGTAGATGCTATGTTAATTCAAGATGAGATGTAATGTGCCTATGTACAGGTACTGCAAATACAATATGCAAAACATACATTACCTGGAGGTGAGCAATTACTGTGGTCCGTCTGTTATTCTCTTTGTTTTTCATTTACATACTGAATGTAATGTCCAGTCATAGTGCTTGTAAATATTCAGGTTTTATAGCAGTGGCTGGCTGCCTTGCCTCAGAAAACTTCAGTAGTATAAGTATTGCTTGTAAATGAGCTCGACAACCACTGCCACCATGTAGAGTTTGTTTGGTGTTGAAACATTTTAACATTTCCATAGGTGAATGTTAAAAAGGCTTTTTATAAAGCTGGGATAAAAAAACCACAGGCTCCTGGAAACACTTGTTCTCCCAACACCTTTAGTTTGTGAAAACAAGATCTTTTTAAAAGCTAGTTGGTATTTTTAAAGTTGCATTAATCAACACTTTTAGCCACGTTAGCAGGGGCGTGTCCAGGGAGCGGGTTACCCTAAAATTTGACTGGTCAGAGGTTAGTTTGTATCTCCAGGAGAAAACAATGCACATTCAAAAATACTACATTTAGATCAGTTTGTTTTTGAGGACACAAAAGTATGGAAGCTTTACATCTGGATAGTGCCACTCTGTTTATGTGACTGGTCGGTCTATTTCTCTTTAGGACCCGAATCTGCGACCACTGCAAAGCCCAGTTTAAATGGAAGCAATGATTATTAGTTTTCACATTTCTCATCTTATATATATATATCTCCTGATTGAAAAACTATGATGCACCCCCATTGTTGACTTCCAGCATCTTCCAGCCCATGCAGGGCCTTTACCCGCTGGAGGATCAGAGGAGGAGAACTGAAAAAAATAACTCATAAGATTTATTTATATATAAAATATATTGTAAGTATTTGCACGCAAATGATTCAAGTAAAATTTAATGCTGCAATATCAAGTAACACTAACTTGCCAGTATCAAGTAAATTTTACTTACCATAAAACATAACAGTTGTGAAGATATTAAGTAACATTTACTTAACCAAGTTTTAAGTTATATTTATTTAAACTAATTAAGTAAAGTCTACTTGCTTTTCATAGGCAAGAACATCATTTTCCTCAAAATTTTAAGTAAATTTTATATATCTGTAGTATTTGCTGTTATGACATAATTTAGTAGATTTTAATTAATTTCTTGTGCTTGACATTTTAATTTACTTGGTTGCATTACGTTACATTACTCACTAAAATTAGGTAATCATTGCCAGTTTTCTTTTGATAAATGTTACCAAATAAATTTAACCAATACTCTATGCATTTAATATATATTTATCACATATCACACAACTAAATTACAATGCAATTAAACTGTTTATTTTTCATTTAAAACACACAAACATGCTCTAAACAACTTCAGGTAGAGGGTCAGGATAGAAACAACTGAAAGTGTAGAATAATGAAACACAGGAACACACACGTCAACAGTGCAGGCATGCAGCTGGAGAGATGGGCGGAGCAACTGCAGCCAAACCAGTGGTGTAAGGACATAGATCTGGTAACAATTAAAATCTTACAAACCTACACTCTGAAACAGTGCAATTTCAACATTTAAACCAGTCCTCTAGACTAGTGCACTTTTAAGAATGCAATTAAAACATTAATAAAATCCACAGAATAAATTAAAAATGAACAGCTTAAGGTGTCTAACCATTCTAGATGAAGAATAAAATCTTTACTGTAATTAACAGATACCTTATTTGACAAAAAATGAAAAACATTTATGACAGGCAACTTCCCACTAGTAAACCAAGATGAACTGGAATTCAGTGCTAATTGGCAATTCTTCAAAGGGACAGTTAAAACCACCAAAGTTACATAACAGTCCCAAGGACAACCACGCCCCCAAAATCTCATGGCCTCGAAAAGATGGAACACAACGGACTTCACAGCACCATGGAAAGTATTTTGAGGATGTGGTTACTGACATCACTTGGGCGAGTTCCTTCCTACTTCCAAGGTACAGTATAAGGCTGCGGATAACGGTTTCACACCCATCCAATGAGTCTGTGTATGATTTCTGACAAATGTTAAGTCCCAACTTTTAAACAAACAAGGACAATCGAGTACAAGAAGGGTAGTGACCCCCAGTGTGTGATGCTTCAACCTATAATGTTTTATCAGATCTAAACGTTTTGATGACCTGAATTGCATCTTTGCAGACCATCTCATATCTCATATCTCTATTGTCACTCTGATATCCACTCTTCTCCCTGGATTCCCTCCTCAGACCTCAACCCCAACTGTCCACAAAGTGCACTGGCTCCTCCAAAGGGCACCCTGAAAGTGAAGACACACAATTTGTGGTATTAAAACAATGGTCTGAAATATTCAGCCACATGTAATATTATGTTATGATGGATGAATAAGGGAAAATAATAAAACAATATTATATCATGCATACATTATTTTCTACTATATTTTCTACATGACTGACAGGGGCCCCAAAAAATAGGTAAAAACTAATTTTGGATTAATTAATTAATTTAAAAAAATATATTAAACCATCACCATTCAGTATATATATTTCAAATATAATAATAAAATGAATGATCTCTTTGTTTTTACTTGTTTTTGGCAGTAAAAGTTAAATATCCCCATTGACCAAAAAGTAAACATCCATATTGACCGACCACCCCCCAGTATCTGCATGAAATGGTTTGGTCCTGCTTTAGCATCAGTGACGGTGTTTATTGCAGTCAGTAGATGAGCCAGAACTACAGTGATCACAATGTTAACTAGTAAATCTAAATCTGGTTTTCAAAAAAGGAAAGAGAGAAAAGAGAAAGAGGAAAGACAATAAGATAGCCAGCTACAGACTAGTGTCAGCCTACATTTAATCACCATTAATCAGTTCAGGGAAACGTTGAGCAACATATTCATATTAAATCATTGTCCCTGCCCCTTTTAGCAGACTTAACAACAGATGAGTCAGCAGCACCCCAGTCCCCCCATCACTGTACCCTCCCTGTCCCCCCATCACTGTACCCTCCCTGTCTCCCCATCACTGTACCCTCCCTGTCTCCCCATCACTGTACCCTCCCTGTCTCCCCATCACTGTACCCTCCCTGTCTCCCCATCACTGTACCCTCCCTGTCTCCCCATCACTGTACCCTCCCTGTCTCCCCATCACTGTACCCTCCCTGTCTCCCCATCACTGTACCCTCCCTGTCCCAGTGAAGCTGACCAACGTTGTGTTCAATGACAGGCCAGTTAACATCATTGCAGGGAGTCTGTGGGGATTTCTGTCTCTCTTGCTCTTTTTACCATTACAAAAAAGAAAATGAAATATTTATTAATGACAGAAATTCAAACACATTAATAACAATTATTTTATCACACAATGATCATTATGAAATAAATAACAAACAATTAACAAGATGCAGCTACACAGCATTTTTGGAGAAGTCTGCATTGCTTTACATATATTTTGTACATTGCCTGTGACTGTTGCTGGTGGGGAGAGAGCTTTCAGTAAGCTAAAACTGATAAAAAACTATTTGAGGTCCACTATGTCTCAGGACAGGCTTTGCAGTCTTGCCATGTTGTCCATTGAAAGTCAGTTGGCTAGAAAGCTCGACTTCAAAGACTTATCAGTGACTTTGCTGGCAAGAAGGCTCGGCACTGGGCTCTTGGTGAGTCAGGCTGAGTGGGGGCCAGTGATAGCTGACAAATGGCATGGCTATGGAGATTGGATATTACTACAGACATAATGCCCACAGCCTAAACAAACTGAGAACAAGATGTATGGCTGGACTGCCAAAAATGTGTTGAGCTGTTATTTGAGGGAAAAGTTTGGGTTTCCAGGAGTCCTTTGTTCTTTTTTATACCTTTTTAATTTGATGTCACTGGTACTGTTAGTTTGACCATATTCCAAACCTCAAAACCTTTTGATTTGGTGATCACTTGGTCTGTTTTGTAGCACTATAATAATCCTGGTGTGGAAATTTCATTTTACATGTCAACTTTATTTTCTTGTTGGCATATATGTGCAGCTAAGTTCAAGAATCTGCTGTTTTCATTGTTTTGAGAGGATGATGTTAATTTATTTTGATTGAAAAGTTAATATATATTTAAGTTTGTTTGTTTTTCTTTTTTTAAATCTTTCATTAATAATAATAATAATAATTAATTTCGTTTAGAGAATTTTCCATTTTGAAATGTTACAATAAAAATACATTGAAACTGTAAAAGATGGCCTTTAGCACATTTTTTATGGTTGCTTTTAATCTTGCATCAAACAGTGAACTGCATACTGTATGCAGACTTGCATGCATGTACAAATCACCAGCAGTAAATATTGTGCTAGTACTAGTATTGAACTACAAGAAGCAAGACAGTTGAAAGCCTTTAATTAGAGTTATGTAAAGCTTTGATGGGACAGTTAGGTCCTAGAATGTGGTGACAACAGCTCCGCAGGGGGCCCAATTACATTTTTTTTTTTTGGCATGGGGCCCATAATTTCGCCGCCCCCCTGCTCCCACTTACAGGCCAGCACGGACTTAATGTAATGCTAACTTTAAATTAACTTATGAACAGTAACATATCTTGCATCAAACTATCAAAATACATGCAGACTTATATATTATCACAAATTTAAAACAGAACTGTAATAACTTACCTGTGAAATGACTGTCGTACGTGCTACAGCCAAAAAATGGTCTCTGCTACACCTTGCTCTGTGATCCTGTAACGTCCGGAGCGGGAGCCAGTCCTGTTGTACTGTGCACATGCATCGTGCATGCGTTTCAAAACACGCTACACTTTCAGAGTAAAGTTTATGTAGTATTTCTAGGTTTATGTACATACAACTATTAAACATTTAAATAGTATGAGGAAACCAAAGTAAAACATCTTCCCCCATAATTCATGTATTACGTTAATAAAATGTTTAATTTTACTTAAGAAACTCTAGTTTTCACTGAATCTTAAACATACAAGGGAGAAATTATGACAGTTACTCTAATAGAGTTTACTGCACCAAAAAGTCACTTTTTTCAGTGAGCGGGTGATCGGTGTGGCCGGTGCCTAGAACAGCCAGGAACAAGCACTGCTGTGGGCCTTACTGATCTCCCTCTCTTGTTCTCATTCAGTTCCAGAGGGGGAAGAGTGCAGACAGAGGCCTGCATGGGCCCACTGGAGCAGGTTGAAGACTGGATACAGGATTTGGGTTGTGCTCAGGGGGGCTGAGACCCGGCCCTGGCCATAGAGAGTGTTCTGGAGGTATCTCATTATTCAGAAAAACAAAGCCACATTTCTTTTTCCAAGTGAATGCAATACACTTTTGGATTCAAATATGAAGTAAATATTTCACACTGAACCTATAATTAACACTGCTGTATCCAGGAGAAACAGGGATGGATTTGTTTATGAAAATAAAGAACTTCCTCTACTGAAACAAATATCAAGAAAATAAGGAAGTCCAAAGGTGCGTTTACTTGGCGGAGCAACAATGCACTAACTCTGTAGACTTTCCACGTTGGAATCATATGTTTGACTTATGTAAACTAGTCTGGAGCTGCTTTGACTACAGACTGCGCCTTAACCAGGAGAGACAACATTGATTTAGATCAGTGTATACTTGCAGCAGTCAGGGAAGGGTGAAGAGTACATTTACAGCTGTAGCTGGGAGAGAGCATCGTATGAAAAACATTGTGGAGAAAGAAAAAGGCCAACAAGGTGAGTGAGGTTAATGCAGCCTCAATTCTCATTTATTTCTCATTATTTATTTCATAATGTTACAGAGTCCTCGCAAAGTCTTTTTTTAAAGCTGCAGCTACAAACACCTTTGCAATTTCAAAAAAAGTTTTATTTCTGAATTAAATGTATTTGTCTGTGGTCATGAGAGACATTTAACCTGTCGGCTGATGTTGCCTTGTGTTCTCCACAGTAAAGATGCTGTGGAGTCTGCTGCTCATCCCTCTGATTGGTAAGCATGTCAGTGATCTCTGAAATGATAAATGGATAAAATCATTAAACAGTTTATTGTTTTTAAATGTTTTACTGTAAACTTTAACGTATTTGACCCATTTGCACCCAAAGACTATATTTAGCATAAGAAGGAAAAATGCCATAACATTTGTTCTGATTGGTCTTGGAATTTGGTACCAACATACTCTAACAGTATATATTTATATGTATTTTAGTGTTATAAGTTCTCTAAAAAACCTAGAGCTGAGGTTTAATGAAGCCAACAGACTCCCTCCATTAGTTTCAAGGAGAATTAAAACTCCTTGAAACTAATGCAGAATGGTCCCTCAAGCGAATGTTTTCACCTAATAAAAGTTATTGTTGTCATTTTTATTAATATGGACTATATAGATAGGAGCCTGTCGCATGTGTGTACTGAAAATAATAAAAAATCCCTGAACCTTTACTGCTTATTCAAGGGCATTTTCTACCATTTTAGGAAAAACCCCGTAGTCCCATGTGCCTAAAGACTAAATCTAGTTTGATGAGAAAAACTCACTTTTCACCGGTTTAAATAATGTCTTCAGATATGTGCCCAGACAAAACTCCAAATTTCAGTTGCGGGCACAAACGGGTTATTGATGGCATATTGTAATACTACTGCTGTTTTACCAAGCAATAATATCGTAGATGCCAGTAACTTTGACTTGAATTGAAATGGAAATAGGAATTCTTATATATACTCTGCTGTTCCAGGTTCCGTGGAAAGTGAACACGAGCCTAACTGTACAACAGGTGGGATTAAATGCATTTTATTTACACTCATGAGTTTAGTTTCTCTCAAGTCATGCCTCAATAGTATTTATATGCTAAATATGTAAGGGCCTTTTTTGTGAATTATTCTATATTTTGTCTTCAGGTACATCTCAAGACATGGAAGAGCTGAACGGGACCACATCCCAGTCATCAAACTATACACCTCAAGAAGACAAAGAGGAGAAAATACCCTACGTTTCTGATAGAGCTATGGATAACGATAGGAGCACCTGTGCTCACACCTTGAAACTGCAGAACTCCTGGTGGAGAATTGACCTGGAGGGTGTCTACACCATTTCTTGTATCAGTATCTACAACAAAGAGCATCGCACGATAGAAAAAGCTCGCATCTACATTGGGAACTCTCGTGAGAGCAACGGCACTGCCAACAAAATGTAACACCTTTATGTTACTTTGAACTAATTTATTTCACATTTCCAGGCTTCAGATGTCCTTTGGCCATGTCCTGTCTTTGTTCCCGAACCAAGTTATAAAACTTTATTTAGAAAGTTTGTGCATGTAATGTATTAAGGTTTACAATTGACAAATATATTTGAATTTGGGTTTTCTGGTCATTCATAGACTTGAATTTTCAGCTTCCTGTGACATTTCAAACTCACAGCTCCAGTGACGATAGAGTCTCCACCATGGCTTAATTTCACAGTGTAAAATATAAATGTCACAGTATCGATCTCTAAAAATATTGGATCAAAAGTCATTCAATCTAACAAAAGGTACTTAATGTTGTTGCCATATATTCTCTGTTTTCTTCATAGCCCCCACAGACACTGGCAGACTTTTTTCAGTGTCTGAATCTCCAAAGCAAGCAAATCAGAGATTTCATCCCAAAGAACCACAGACATCCCTCTTCCTGCCTTTACTGTATGTTCATCTTTTTTTCTCTTCCAGAAATAAAACCATCACAAACTTTAACAAAACAACCTGGAATCACTTTCAGTTTAACCAATCAGCTTCAGGGCGCTACATCACTGTGTTCTTACCAGAACATGAGAATTTAATTCTGTGTGAAGTGAAGATCTACGGGAAAAAAAAAGGTAAAGAAACGTTCTCCTCCTACACATAAAGTATGTGATTGATAGCCACAGTATGTTAATACTGAAAACTGTGTATCAATAACGCAATAGCAGATAAATATGATGAATTATATATACTGTAAAAAAAAATGGACATATTGTATGTAGGCTGATTGTTCAAGCTAACTGAAGCTCAAGGTTTGATGCATAATTTAATGCAAAAATCGAATTTGTCCCCAGTGCCACCTCAATATCCTTCCACTCCAGAAATTGGGAATGACTGGATAGACACATACTTCATGCCACCCCCTGCACAAGTCAGCGCCCCCCTCGTGCCATCTCAGTCAAAACAGTCTGGACACGCCCCTGAACGGGTGTAAACACAAATGACTTCACGTTTGTTGTGAACTCACAAGTTAAAAGATTTAGTCTTCATCAGGACATTATCAGAGAATCACACAGGAGTCTTCCCTCAAACCCTCTGACCCTGGTCCCTTATTTTGTTCCCATCATTTCACACTGCTGTTTTTTTCCTCACTAGAGTCGCCCTTTAAGCTGATCAAAGAGAATAAGACATGGGAAGAAGCCCTGTACCACTGCAGGGACAACGAAATGGACCTGGCATCCATTCTCGACGATGAGGACCAAGCCTGGGCTGAGCTGCAGGCCAGGGATGCAGACACTGACCACGTGTGGCTGGGCCTCCATTACACCTGCATCCTGCAGTTCTGGTTCTGGGTCGACGATAATCGCTTGGATTTCAGTCGCTTGGATCAAGAGAGTAAAGAAGAAGAATGTGACACGAGTGTGGTCATGGAGACACAAGAGGAACATCTGTGGTTCAGAAAATCTGACTACGATGAGTTTAATTTCATCTGCAGAGTGAGAAAAGAAAAGCCAAGAGGATAGGATAAACTTACAGCCATACAGATATAACTTGCTTTTTTAGTGACTGCAGCTCACTCCATATTTTAGGACGTGCACGTACTTTACCTTTGTAAAAATGTTTGTTTAAGTAGTGTTAAGGCTTCGGTTGTACTTCCTGATACTGTGATATAATTATTATATGATGGTGAAACACGTTTTTTTTCTTCTACTGTTTTAAAATTCAAAATTCAATCATCATTAAACTCATGAGTGTTTGTTTTTATTATTATTATTATTATTATTCTCTCTATGAGAATGGATTTGGCATTGGAATGGGCTATCTGCATTTTGTTGTTATCCCGATAGAAATAATAAAACTATTAATTAATAATTCAGGAAAGTTTGAGATTTCTCACAAATGTACAGAAATAGAATAGAAATGTATTTTATGTGGTCACATATAGTTTGTATACCTAAAAAATTGCATTTGAAGCTTTCAATATGTACTTCTGAATTCAATTTACTTTACATGTTATTTCCTCTGGATGCATACTGCTTATATATATATATATACATCTACATATATATCTATATATATATAGATCTATATATATATATATATATATAGATCTATATATAGATCTATATATGTGGGTTCAGTTTTTCCTGTGTGTGAGTATGAAGATGCAAACTTGACTTTAGCAATATTTGTTTTTGAGACGTGAATATAAAGTAGAAATAAAGGTTGATGATTGACGATGATGAAGGTGTTCATTCATTCTGTACAGGACCGGGTCCATGGAGCCGCCCCTGAATTCTTATCGGCCAACCCATTATCCTAAACTATGATTGGCTATCGGCTTCGGTAGAGGAAGAACCTCGGTTTGAACCAACTGTTTGACAGTTGGGCGAGTTACTGAAAGATAGTAATTAGTTGCTAATTACTCTCAAAGTCACTGACTTACTGTAGATAAAAGTAATTAGTTACTCGGTAAACTAACTCTTCTTATTAAGGCTCACAGCTGTCAGTTATATTATTTTAGTGTTGCTTTGGGACAACTGTATTGAGTTATAAATACTGGAGACCACCAGAGGGCAGCAACGAGTAACATTCATACCTGTAAGCAACATTTATTCAGTTAATGAAGATACACATGGACGTAAACACATTTTTCAGGGGTTTTCTGGACAACACAGGACAGCACCTGCTAACAAACAGTCATATAATTCACTGGTAGACCTCACTGATTCATTTAACCCCAGTTTCATTCATTACGTACATGACTTTGGCTACAGCCCATAAGTAACAGTTTAAATTCCTATTAGTCTATTAAAAGAAGAGGTAGAAAGTGTTTGTTGCACAAGCAATTAACATCTCCATGCATGTATTTATTAATCACAACAACAAGACATTTTTCCACCCGGGCTTTCAGGAGATTACTGGAATTACAGCAACTCCCAGCACTGCTGTTCGACAAGGTTTTTTCTTTTTAATATGCACTGTTTTCTTCAGAGGAATCATTTGTTTTTGAGGACTTAAAGAATAAAGTATGGAAGCTTTACATTTAGTGTGAGTGCCACTGTAATGCACAGTGAACACAGGAATGTAAGATACTGTAATGGCAATAATTAAGCTGCTGTAGTGGCTCACAATTTACCAATGAGAGACAACGAATACAGTTTTATTGCTCTAATTATTTACACTTAAACTTAACTAATTTTTTGGCCACATGAGGGCAGCAGAAACAAGTTGTAAACACAGCATTGATATAACTTTTATTTCAGGTCAGACCTTTAATAACACACAGGATGAAATTCTCAGCATAAAAAACACAAACATGAAATATAAACGTAGTAAAAAACACACTAACCCCAAAATTCCAGCGGACTTTCATATTGTTTTGTCATTTCATACATTGTTAGTTCAAAATGATTGATTATAGCTTAAAATCCTCCACCAGGGGGCGTTGCTTATATTCTAAATTAATCGTTAGTTGCAGCCCGACAACCCTGTCTCCTAAAAAGTATGTTTATATACAATTCAGCAAAAAACTTTTATACAGTTTTATATATTTCTTTGACCAGAATTACAACGTACAACCATCAACTAATACCCAGTTAACCAACACTTCAGTTGTCAGTTAAGAATATGAGTACCAGCTGAACAACAGTGAAGTTAATAAGTCTCACGTTTAACAAAATACAGGATCTCCTGCAGACTCCAGTCCCACCTTCCTGTTATGACATTCTTGACTGAAAATAGGAACCTGGTGCACTTGTTTGGCTCTGCAGGGGCAACATGAAACACTGCTGTGCACCTCTCTCTCTCTCTCTCTCTCTCTCTCTCTCTCTCTCTCTCTCTCTTCACCCCAACTGGTTGAGACAGACGACCACCCACCTAGAGCCGAAGGATCTGTCCTAGTCTTCTGCCTTTTAACAGGCAGTTTTTCCTTGCCCTTGTCGCCAAGTGCTTGCTCATGGTAATGTCTGTTGGGTCTCTGTAAATAATGTTTTAAAGAGTTCGGTCTCGACCTGCTCTGTTTGAAAAGTGTCCTGAGATAACTTCTGTTATGAATTGGCGCTTTACAAATAAAATTGAATTGAATTGAATTGAATTGAATTGAATTGAATTGAATTGAATTGAATTGAAGTGAATTGAATTGAATTGAATTGAATTGAATTGAATTGAATTGAACAGGCCGCTGCCCAGAAGCTCCGGAAACTCCACTTTGAAAGCTTCAACAGGAGGTGGACGCTATTAATTGCTCTGCTGATGAATCAGTGGAGGACAGTGAGAAGAGCTTCACTGAGCTGATCTGTCTCATACTCGTCATTATGACAGGAACAAGCAGAGAAAGTGTTAACAAAGCTGTACTGAGCAACACAGACAATCTGGCAGAATGAGAGTCAGCAGTCCACTACCTACTGGATCTCATGAGTAACAGGGAGCAACTAAGGTCTGACACTGTCCCATGATGAAGGACACATAGAAATCTCTTTAGTTTTTGGCTAAATCGAAGTGAAATTAGTTTGATTTAATATTATCCGTGATAAATACTAATAGACTTTTTAAAATCTGTGTGCTATTAACTGCAACACCAGCAGCGTAAAACCAACCAACCAAGGTAGTTACTCAACAACCACAGTTAAATATCATACAACACAATAATACAAAATAAATATGGGTGTAGACTGAAGCTGCAGCTTTCTTACTGCCTGATGAACATCACTGACCATGATGTGTGGCACAATTAGAACATTTCCAATCTGCCTTAGAAACGTGGTCTAAAACATGGAGACAAAGTGAGCTGAGGAGCTTTAACCTCCATTACATCCCTGGTTTGCAGGATGAAGGCGCCATCTTGTGTTGTGCATCAGTGTTTACATTACAGTTGTTCAGCTGCTGTAATGTTCACTGCAAGAAGATATGTAAAATCTTCACTGAGCCTTTAGTAGCTTCAACCAACATCAGTAAAGAGACTTTAAATATAGGTACTATCACACTGTGTATGCAGAAGTCTATATTTAAACACAACCTTGATGACACCAGTTAATACTGACTATTTTCCATTTTTTCAAGTCGGTGTTATAAATCCTTTTTATTGACTAAGTAGTGCTAGAAAACTCTGCTCATTTCTTTGTGACAAAGCTGTTGTAGTGAGGACATTGTAAAGGACAGAGACTGAACCTCAGTTATATTCTCTAATATTAGTTTCACATTTCCTCCATCAGCTTTGTACGAGACTCTGGAATGAAGACTAGAAGAAAGTACTTTGTTCTTGTACGTTTATTGATTATGTAAACCTTCAGTTTGTAAATCAGTAAAGTCTGCTAACTGACTCTTGTTCAATGATTCACAATCAACAGAATATGATCTATGTAAAAGAACAACAGAAACAACATTTGGTCAACCAGGCAAATAAAAGTAAATGTAATTATCAGTGTCTTTGAGGCTTTACTACAGTGGCCTGGGTTTGATTCCAACTTGTGTTTTTTTGCTGCATGTCATCCCCCCTCTCTCTCCCCGCTTTCCTGTCACTCATCAGCTGCTATACATTCTCATAAAGGCAATGAGGTGATTAAAACAGAACATCTACAACCTATCTAAAGATCATACAGATCATTTCATTGATACACATATTCAGCAAACAAAGAGCAAAGAGAAGATTACATTGTCATGCAGAAAAATGTCAGTTCAGGTGACAGGTGATCAATCAGCCCTCAGCAACAAACATGAAGACAAAATAACTTTGAGCATTAAAATACAATTCAACCCACTCTCCCTTAAATGACTGTCAAATGTCTATTTGAGTTTACAGAATTCAGCAATGTCTCCATAAGTGTAGTAAAGCCTAAGTCCAGCATAGAGAGGCTGAGTGAATGTGGTCTGGACTCTGTGGAGGAGAGTCATGGTTTCAGAGATGCTGTAGAAGGACAGAATACCTGCACTGTGATCCAGATACACTCCAACTCTGGAGGACAGCGGACCTGAGACTGGAGTTTGGACATTGTTGTGTTTAAATTTATAACTGGTTTTGTGACAATCTAACATCCAAGTTTTGCAATTGACTCCAAATTCACATGTACTCAAGCTCCCTGGACAGCTGATATTTTTGTATGCGACTGCTACATGAACCCCATCCCCTCTCCACTCCACCTCCCAGTAACAACGTCCAGTCAGACTCTCTCTACTCAGGACCTGATAATACACAGTGAATCTGTCTGGGTGACTAGAATAAGACTGTTGTTGACTCATTAACGTTGCTTTTCTGTTCCCCTCAGATAATAACAAATATATGTTTGCTGTGTTTGGATCCAGTGTGATTTCACGTGAATATCTTAAGAAATCAGCTCTGGTCTTGGGCTCTGGTTGTGGCAGTAAAACATCCACTTCAGTCATTGTCAGTGAGACGTTTGTCCATTTCTCTCTCAGAACGTCCTGTAGTTTATCTCTGAGCTCTGAAACAGCCGCTGTCACATCCTCAAAGTACCTCAGAGGACGGATATTGATGCTGGATGTAGATTCACTGAGTGCTGACAGTGAGGGGTAGTTGTGTAGAAACTGGTTGTGGTCCTCTGTGTGTGACAGCTTCTTCATCTCAGCCTCTTTCCTCTTCAACTCAGTGATCTCCTGCTCCATCTTCTCCTGAAGCTCTTTGACTCGACTCACTTCAGTTTCCTGCTGGGATCTGACCTGCTGCTTCACATCAGAGCTTCTTTTCTGGATCAGACTGATCAGCTCAGTGAAGATCTTCTCACTGTCCTCCACTGCTTTATCAGCAGAGCGATTGATATCCTCCACCTGCTGTTGAAGCTCCTTCACATCTTTCTCTCTTTCCAGGATTCTCTGCTGGATGTTTTGTCGACTCACCTCAAGCTCTCTCTGCCTCTCAGTCCTTTCTGCTGCAGCTGAGACTGTGTCGTGGCCTTTATGTTCATCCACAGAGCAGAGATAACAGATACACTGCTGATCAGTACGGCAGAACATCTTCATCACCTCATCATGACGAGAACAGATGTTCTCCTGGAGCTTCTTGGAGGGGTCCACCAGCTTGTGTTTTTCATAGGCAGGTGATTCAAAGTGAGGCTGGAGGTGTTTCTCACAGAATGAGATCAGACAGACCAGACAGGACTTGAAGGCTTTCAGTTTTCTCCCAGTGCAGATATCACAGGACACATCTTCAGGTCCAGCATAGCAGAGATCAGCAGGAGCAGCTTGGAGTCCAGTCTTCTTCAGTTCCTCCAGTAAAACTGCTAACATGGTGTTTTTCACCAGGACAGGCCTCGGTGTGAAGGTCTGTCTACACTGAGGGCAGCTGTGGATTTCCTTCTCCTTGTCTTCATCCCAGAAGCTTTTAATACAGTTCATGCAGTAGCTGTGTCCACAGGGAATAGCCACCGGATCCTTCAGTAGATCCAGACAGATTGAACAAGAGAAGGTTTCTCGGTCCAGCTGAACTCCTTTCTGCGCCATTTCACCTCTCAGTCACAACGACTGTCTGAGTTTCACTTCTTTATAAATTAAACTAGTTTGATCTCTGATCTGAACAACATGTGTTTCTGCAGTGAATGGGGCCTGTCGGCTCTTTCACGTCACCACATGTTGGTTACACCCATCCTTCAAACTGTAGATCTAAAGGGGAGGGAACAAGGAAATATGTGGACAGAGTGGAGCTCGCTGTGTTTGAGAGCAGGAAGAAGAGGGAGGAGTTATCAAACTGTGATTCAGTCCAGGAAGAGGAGCAGTTACAGAGAGATACTGTGTGTTAAACGTGTGTTTACAATAGAGTTCATTTCTCATTTTAAACTTCAGCTTTTAAGAGGTAAACTAATAGAATTTAGTTTTTCGAAAATAAGCTGTTCTGTTCTAAAATACAGCGATTACAAATTCAATTCATTCTTTTTCATTTTTGAGTTTTGAGAACATTTTGAGTAAAAGATTTATTTTCATGTTAGATGCATTTAGTTAATCCAACGGGACATGAATGCACCCAACTGTAATGACTGAATCAATCTGGAAAATGTGCTGCTCTATAGACATTCTCAGTGTCACAATGAACCAACTTGAGCAGTTATATTCAGTTCAAACAACCTTCTCACACACAGGGGCGCTGCCAGGAATTTTGGGCCCCATGACAAAAAAATCAAATTGGGCCCCCTCTGGGTAGCTGTTGTCACCACATCTCTAGGACCTAACTGTCCCATCAAAAGCTTTACATAACTCTAATTAAAGGCTTGCCACTGTCTTGCTTCTTGTAGTTCAATACTAGTACTAGCACAATATTTACTGCTGGTGATTTGTACACGCATGCAAGTCTGCATACAGTATGCAGTTCACTATTTGATGCAAGATTAAAAGCAACCATAAAAAATGTGCTAAACAGTTTCAATGTATTTTATTGTAACATTTCAAAATGGAAAATTCTCTAAACGGAATTAATTATTATTATAATAAAGTCTGTATCTATAGATGTCATTCCATAATTCATTCTAAATGAACATATCAAACTGGATTATTTTAATATTGTCTGTATCTTAAATGCTGGCTCAGGTAAACTACTCACTGTTTCCAACTGTCCAGCATCCAGTACAGACAGTAGGTTGTTGTTTTTTTAATTTTATTTCATAATGATCATTATGTGATAAAATAATTGTTATTAATGTTTGAATTTCTGTCATTAATAAATATTTCATTTTCTTTTTTGTAATGGTAAAAAGAGCAAGAGAGACAGAAATCCCCACAGACTCGCTGCAATGATGTTAACTGGCCTGTCATTGAACACAATGTTGCTCAGCTTCTTCACTGGAACAGGGGGGTACAGTGATGGGGGACAGGGAGAGTACAGTGATGGGGAGACAGGGAGGGGTATAGTGATGGGGGGACAGGGAGGGGTACAGTGATGGGGGGTACAGGGAGGGTACAGTGATGGGGAGACAGGGAGGGGTACAGTGATGGGGGGACAGGGAGGGTACAGTGATGGGGGGGACAGGGAGGGGTATAGTGATGGGGGGGACAGGGAGGGTACAGTGATGGGGGGGACAGGAGGGGTACAGTGATGGGGGGGACAGGGAGGGGTACAGTGATGGGGGGACAGGGAGGGTACAGTGATGGGGGGGACAGGGAGGGTACAGTGATGGGGGGGACAGGGAGGGGTACAGTGATGGGGAGACTGGGAGGGGTACAGTGATGGGGGAGACAGGGAGGGGTACAGTGATGGGGGGGACAGGGAGGGGTACAGTGATGGGGGGTACAGGGAGGGGTACAGTGATGGGGAGACTGGGAGGGTACAGTGATGGGGGGACAGGGAGGGGTACAGTGATGGGGGGACAGGGAGGGTACAGTGATGGGGAGACTGGGGTGCTGCTGACTCATCTGTTGTTAAGTCTGCTAAAAGGGGCAGGGACAATGATTTAATATGAATATGTTGCTGAACGTTTCCCTGAACTGATTAATGGTGATTAAATGTAGGCTGACACTAGTCTGTAGCTGTATCTTATTTCCCTATGGACATTAAGCCAACAGGTTAATACCACTCACAGACTATAGGCTCCTTTCTTGGTAAAACACTGGGTTACAGATTGACTTCCTTTCCTTTGTCTTTCCTCTTTCTCTTTTCTCTCTTTCCTTTTTTGAAAGCCAGATTTAGATTTACTAGTTAACATTGTGATCACTGTAGTTCTGGCTCATCTACTGACTGCAATAAACACCATCACTGATGCTAAAGCAGGACCAAACCATTTCATGCAGATACAGGGGGGTGGTCGGTCAATATGGATGTTTACTTTTTGGTCAATGGGGATATTTAACTTTTACTGCCAAAAACAAGTAAAAACAAAGAGATTATTCATATTTTATATTTGAAATATATATACTGAATGATGATGGTTTAATAATTTATATTAGTTTTTACCTATTTTTGGGGCCCTGTCAGTCATGGGCCCTTGGAATTGTCCTAACTTTTGTGTAAAGAATTGTGTCAACACCGACACCCTAACTTAAATCCTTTACTCATATGATGAGAACTGTACACTAAAGTGTGAATCCTGCTTGTTACAAACAGAAAAGACACAATGATCAATGATACAAATATTAAAGTTTCAGATTCACCAGTGGAGAGGAGTGGTCTCTGCACCTCTTCTGTATCATTGTGCAGATGTTAAAATAATGCCCATGTCTGTTGAACCTGAAGTGAAATAAGATGTTTGTCATTTGAAAACTGTATATTATGTTCTCAGAATTTCATAACCACTATATTAAGTATGCAATATTAAACTACTGGAAGATCATATTTACCCATAACTTTATGGCTCCACCTCATGGGACAACAGAACTATTACAATCAATAGGAAAACCTTATTTAAAGGTCCAGTATGGAACATTTAGGAGGATCTATTGGCATGGAATGGAATATAATATTCAAATATATGTATGTGTCTTTAGTGTATAATTCTTTGAATATAAGTATCACTGCATATGTGTTACCTTATAATGAGCTATTTTCATCTAAAGAAGGAGTGGGTTATCTACAGGAGGGGAGTTTTGTGGCCACTGTAGTTTCTCCTACACGCTTGAAAGGCTGGGCTGTATTCAGATGATTGCAGTGTGCAACTTCACCACTAGATGCCACTCAATCCCACACACTGGTCCTGTAAATTACTTATATTATGTATTGATTATATAATATTTTATCATATTATTAGAGTTTACTTTTACGGCAGTGACTAATTTATCTATATGTCATGTACTGTATTTGAATTACTGTGATCAATGAAAAACTGAATCAAAGCTATATTTTAGGAGCTAATGTTGAACACTGGGGAGCCATCCAAACCCCCCTGATTTTATGACTTTACCACATTAAGGCTAAAGTGACCAGTGCTTTAAAATTAGTATCTCTCTCATACCACTCCTCTTCTTGGAATTAATCAAAGCCTAATAGCCCCTCCCTCTTCTTCCTCTTCTCAAATACAGCACCACTCTGTCTGTATATTTATTTGTTCCCTCCCCTTTACATCTACAGTTTGAAGTTGGGTGTAACCAATATGTGGTAAAGTGCAGGAACTGACAAACAGACCCCATTCACTGAGAAAACATAAAGCATTGGAGGAGAGTGAGAAGATCTTCACTGAGCTGATCAGTCTCATCCAGAAAAGAAGCTCTGATGTGAAGCAGCAGGTCAGATCCCAGCAGGAAACTGAAGTGAGTCGAGTCAAAGAGCTTCAGGAGAAGATGGAGCAGGTGATCACTGAGCTGAAGAGGAAAGACGCTGAAATGAAGAAGCTCTCACACACAGAGCAGCGGGTCCAGAGAATTTTCTGGTGGGGGGCAAAATTCACTTTTAAGGTCACAGACGGGTCAAGGTCCTTGAGGAAGAAGCAATCGAGTACAGAAAAAGCCTGCATTCTTTCCAACATCCAGCAGAGGGTGACTTCACTGGATAAAGAAGCCCAGTTCCATCAGAAATAATGCAAAATAAGTTTCCCACCTGACTGTTATCTCATTAAACAGTTTTTGATCTTAATCGTCAGTTTCAAGTCCTTTTCAACACAACATGATGTTCATTTAAAGATGTAACTTCCGACCCTATTTAGAGGAAAATAGACGATAAAGCAGGGTATGCTTTAGGGCGGGACTACAAGGTAGTCTGTGCCGACCTGTCAATCAAGCTAGAGTTGTCCTTCCCCCCCCTTCCGCTGCCCTTCCTGTCGCATCGCGGACACGTCATCAGACCGCTGCTACCGTGGTAAGGAATATCGCCGGAAACATTGCGAGACTACGGCTAGCTGTGTATGATGGAAGGCGAGGAGTGGACTCCAGCCTGCTCCGTCCCATCCAGAGGTCTACTGACCACAAGTCTCACATCAAAACGGAACTTTTTAACGCCCAGTCCCTGTCAAATAAATCTAGCCTGATACATGATCATATTCTTGAGAAAGACATTGACCTGATGTGCCTCACTGAGACCTGGCACCAACCTGAGGTTTTTTCATCACTAAATGAAGCTTGTCCCCCTGGATACAGTTACCTGCAGAGGGCTCGCTGCACTGGTCGAGGTGGTGGCCTGGCGGTAATTTACCGCGACGCTCTCAAGCTGTCTCCCCTGTCTCTACCTGATGTGTCCTCTTTTGAATATCTGGCCTTCAAATCAAAACCCCCCTCCAAGATAAATGCAGTACTGATCTACCGGCCGCCCAAACCTCACCCTTCCTTCATCACAGAGATCCATGACCTCCTCACCTCCCTCTGCTCTCTATATTCCAATAATATCATACTTGGCGATATGAACATTCACATTGACAATCCTTCCTTCCCGCTGGCAGTTGATTTTCTTAATGTACTGGACTGTCTCAACCTCACACAGCATGTTGATGCACCTACTCACACCAGGGGGCACACTTTTAGACCTGGCTCTGACTTTCCCTCCATCAAAAATCTGTTGGTATATGACTTGGGCGTCTCTGATCACAGCATCATCTCCATGGACGTCTCCTGCCCACGCCCCCTCCCCAAGCCTAAACGTAATATTCATTTTCGCAATATAAAAAACATCAACCCTGCCATCTTGTACTCTG